GCTCGAGGCTAAATGGGTTTGTTAGCTGGTGCTGACGCTGCTGCTGGTGCAGCATCACCAGCAGCAGCAGTAGGAGCCATAGCAGCGCAACCCGCAGCAGAAGTAGCAGCACCAGCAGCAGCAGCAGCAGCAGCAGCAGCAGATGACGATGACCCCGTGGTCGCAGAGGACCTCGTGCTGCTGGACTTTCCCGAGTTTTCGTTCCCCCCTACTCTTATGCAAAGAAGGCCCGCGCAAGCAGCAGAAGCAGCAGATGCAGCAGCAACATCAGAAACAGCAGCAGCAACAGCAGCAGCAACAGCAGCAGAAACTCCAGCAGGAACTGCAGCAGAAACACCAGCGACATTTTCAGAGGCACATGATGAGCAGGCGGATGTGCGGGGGCCTAGCCAGGCACTAGCCACAGCAGCAACACCATCAGCAGCAGAAGCTGCTGATACAACGAAAGCAGCAGCAGCAGCCGCAGCAGCAGCATTTTTGCGGCAAGAAAAGCTGCAGGTTAAGGTGTGGGGTCTGGATACCGCCTCCCCGCTGATGCTGCTGGGGGACTTCCCCTTGAAGGGAGAATGCGAGACAGAGCGCATGACGACGACTGCTTTATTCAGAATACAGAAGCAGCAGCAGCAGCAGCAGCAGCAGCAGAGTCAAAGGCAGCAGCAGATGCACACGGGCAGAGACACAGGAGGAGCGGGGGAGGCACAGGCGAAGCTAGAGGGACTTGCTGCGCAAGTCATATCGTTCACTGTCGATGTGACTGCAGCAGCTTCTGCTGCTGCTGCAGCGTCAAATGCAGCAGATGCTGCTGTTGCTAATGGCCCTGCTGCTCTTTGTGGAAGCATCAGTAACCGGAGCTAAGACAGCAGCAGCAACAGCCTGTAGGCAACAAGCAGCTAGGCTGCACTCGGCACTGCTGTTGTTGCCACTTCGATATCATGGTCTGTTATCTGAAGCAGCAGCAGGCGCTGCTGCAGCAGCTGCTGCTGCTCCTTGGAGCTGCTGTCTGGCTGCAGTAGCTCCATGTTGCTTTCCTTGCCGTTCACTTACCTTTTGTGCTGTTCATAGTGTAGAGAGACATTCTATGGAATATTTACGCTGTGGTTGCTGGGCTGTCTGTTGAACTGAATGAGGCAATGCCACATTGACAACAACCAAGGTCAGCGTACCGAATACACCGCCGTTTGCAGCTACAGCCGTTGAAGCAGTTGCAGTATCTGCAGTGCCCGCATGAGCCGCAGCTAGCCAGTTGATTCAGACAGGCCACAGCTAGCGCTACTAGCTAGCTAGCTAGCTAGCTAGCCAACTAGCTATGGGGCGGCGGTTGTGGCTGTGTGCGGTTATGCGGTCCTCAAGACAACAGACATTGTGGGGGAAGTCCACATGTTGTTGTGGGGCTCCAGTCTCACCTCACTTCTCCTGAGTTGAAGAGAACATTTTCATTCTTTTACTCACTCCGTTTCACCTACCAATGGCGCTAGCCACCTGCACTTTCCCTTGCAAAAGCGGGGAGTTCAACATTTCGGACTGACGGCGACGGCTCTCAGCATGTTGATGAACAACTGCTAGACTTATGGCTACATTTTTAACGAACAAACATAAAAAGGGGTTTTTGAAGCAGACAGATAAAAATACACCTGTTTCCACTTTTTGCATTTCAGAGGAAGCCGGAAGCTGCATGGCTGGCGTGCTGGGGTAGGCGGACGACGGGTGCCTCTCGTATGTGCAAGTAGGGGCTGAAGTTCCCTTCATTTCACCGCCAGACAAATGAAGAGATGTCTTCCTGATATTGCAATACTTCTACTTCTCTAAGCGGTGCATTCATTGAGGATCGAACGGATTTCGCCCGTGGAGCTACTGTAGTCGGCGGCGTGTCGGTGAACATTTCGGCTGCGATCTGCCCGAAATACTTCTGAGTAGCCATCAGAAAATACGTATTTCGGCTTTATTATTCTAGGAAAGGGCAATTGCTGCTTTGAAATAACTTTATAAGGCCCTCCTGGCTCGCCCGACTCTCCTCTGCCCGTCTGTCGGCCGTGGCTGTGCAGCTGCGGCTGAAACTCGTGCGCTGGGCAGAGATTAAGAAGGCTGTTTGGGCATCTTCTTGAGCTGAAATGAAATTTAAGTTAAATTAGTTTGTTGTAGAAGCATGATCGCGTTCAGATCCAAGCAGCGGGCTCACTTTTCAAGCTTATTCTGGGCTGCGAAGAGCATCGGCACCGGCCGGTCGCTGGGGTATTTTTTGTTGGTCTTCGCTGTCCAGCGGCTCTTCCTATTCTCTCCCGCTCATAATTTCAGTTAGTTTTCTATTTTTTGCGGCGGAAGGCATTTGCAGTTGCCTCGCGGCCTCTCACGCAGAGGCCTCCGAAGCAGATAGCCGTGCAGTGCACACAGCGCGGGAATACAGAACCGGCTTCTCCCTAGGTTATTTGCTGCTGCGCTTACCAATTGTCTGGGCCCGGCATGCGGGCTATTCTGAGCCCCGCAGTCCGTCTGCTCCTGCAGCGGAAGCAGCGGCAACAGCAGCCGAAACTTGATGATGTGCACAATCACACTGCCCCTGCGACAGCGATGAACAGCGACGATATATGCAAAGAGACCCCTGACCAGGAGGTCTCTGGCCCCCCCCTGAAGCTATTTCGCACAGAGGCTTCTCTGGGTGCGCCTCGGTCTTCCGAGCGTGAGAAGCGGGGCCCCATTCGTCCTATGTTTGTTTCTGCTCCTGCACCGGGTTTGGTGCGGAGTTATTCAACAGCAGATCCTTCGAATGATGCATTTACGGTGTCTCACGAGCTCGATTTTGACGACTGGATGACAACAGTGATTGGGTCGCTCCAGTTGATTGTTTCTTCTGCTGTGGTAGCCCTGGGTATTTATTTGTTATTTACATGTCCTGAGATGTCTCAAGAGGCACCTTTGTTGTTTTACTTCGTCGCTTTCTCCCTTTCTGCAGAGCTGGCTCTGCTAATGTTGATTTGCCTGCTTATGATGGCGGTGCGAGTCGTTTGTGGTGCTGCACGGGCTGAATACACATCAGCAATATGCGGCATATTTCATAGAACGATGGAGGGAGCGATTTACTTCTTTTGTGTTGGATTTGGTGGTACTCTGCTCGTGCTGCTGGCCACAGGAGATCCTGCAGACCCCCGCGTTCGATACCTGGGGAAGAGGCAAATGTTTGTGTGGGCCTTCGTCAGCATGGAGGTGGCTCTGTGTCTTCTCTACTGTCTGCAGACCATCCCAACTCTCTATGGTATTTGTAAATTCGTCTCGCATAAAATTTATTTGAAACTAACTGGCAGAGATGAATTGGAGTTTCAAAGAGGTGATGTTCCCATTGCTTATGCAAGACTTGCTGACTACGACTACTCGCTGCAACACATGCATAACCCGGCTTCAGCAAGGCAGGGGTACGTACACCCCAACGACGCCTACACCCCGCGAGAAAGAGACGCAGCAACCTCCAGACGCTCGGATGCAGAAGAGGCTCTGCTCAACAGTCGTGTCTAGGCTAACCAACAATCTCCAACAGCTAGCTGAAACCCACAACTAGCTGCGGGATAGCAGCAGCGAGCTGCCGAAGCGCAGCAGCGAAGCAGCGAGCTGCTACTGCTTTAGATCTTGCAGTGCAATGCACCGACACCAGGGTGTTGCGGCTGTGCCGGCGGAGGTGTCTGACCTCTTAGGTGTCTGTACAGCAGACAAATGCCAAGCATGCGTTTGCATGGGGTGGCCGTTGCTGCTACCCCTGAGACATTTAACGAGGCATTTATACTTATAATATCCCCTTTTGACAGCGCACGAGTTTCAGTTGCAAATAGAAGAACATAGCACCTGCATCCGTTCGGGGGATGGCCGACAGCTGTATGTACACTCCACCACAAGCTGCTGCGGGAACACCGCCAGCAGCAGCCGCTGCTGCTGCTGGCGGTGTTCCCGCAGCTGTAAGCCGCCGTTTGCTCGTTATGAGGCTGCTAGATAATAGATGAAGCAGCACGCATGCAGCAGCACCACCAATGGAACGGCAGCAAAAGCAGTATTCGCACTGCAGCAATAGCAGCTAGGTCAGTGAAGGTAGTCTGAGAAATAAATATAATTATTGCCTGGAAGTTGTTGAGGCAGCAGCAGGCTGGACTGCTTGAGCTGTATGCAGCTCTCGTTCCCTTCCCACTTGAATTTGTGCAACTACTTAGCGAGTTGCTGCGGAGACAATGCATGCAGAGAACGTTGCCAGCAAGCAGAGATGCATGAGGGGCACAGGTCTATAGAGGTATCTGACAGCAGACGATGTTATATTGTGTTCTGGTGTGTAAAAATAAATAACACATGCCGCTGCGGTGTATGAGGAGCGCCTGTTTCTCCACTGCTGAGGGAAAGAATATCCCCGGGCACCATTTGGTGTCTGACAAGCAAACATCCGCTTCTTAATGGGAAAATTCACTGACAGCAAATTCTGCTGCATGCATGCAGTTGCTGCTGCAGGTATCATTGTAGCTGCTGCTGCAGTTGCTGGGGTGTATAGTCTCGGCTTGTGCCCCCGCTTCCCGTAGAGGAAGCAGCGATGAGCTCGCTAGCCGCTGAAGGAGGCATAGAAAGTATATTCTGCTTCTATGTGTGCAGCNGGAAGCAGCGATGAGCTCGCTAGCCGCTGAAGGAGGCATAGAAAGTATATTCTGCTTCTATGTGTGCAGCAGCTGCTGTAGCAGCAGCTGCTGCTCCTGCTGTTCCTGCTGCTCGGTGATCAAGGACCTGCTTCTTCAGAGCCGTTTATGGGCTCCTCTGTGTTTCTCCGGGTACTGCCCTCGTTCTCTGAGGTGTGGCCCATGTGGCCATACCGCTGCGTGCCGTGCGTCAG